GTTCCTCTGGAAGCTGTTGACGTCAGTGGCTCAACTATAAACTATGAGGGGTTAGAAAACTTAGGTAAGTGTCTACTATCTCTCTCTCTCTCTCCGCGTCTGTCACACTCTCTCCCTCCCCTTACCTATGACTGTCCTCCTTGGTGGTGGGGTTGGGGGGGTAAGTGGGGAATCCTCCCCCTCAGCTCCTGTTAATCCTGTCAACCCCCTTCCCCCCCCCCCCCACACACACACACAAGCCTTGGCTCTCGCCAACCTGCGCCTAATACTGTCCGGAATTAGGTAAGCAGGGGGCGTCCCTCCAGGGAGAGAGAGAGAGAGAGAGAGAGAGAGCATTCCATCCCGACTATCTCTCTCTCTGGGGATTCCAGGTGTGGGGGGGATGTGTGGATGCCATTGTATTCCGGGAGTTGGGGGGGGGGTTTCTGCGTGTCGGGGGTGGGGGGGCTTAACATGACACGGCAGTAGCACGCGTGTCTTTTGTTTCAGTGCGTTTGAAGCGATTGGAGTGTCTGAGGCTGAACGATTGCACCCACATCGACGACTGGTGCCTGAGCCGACTTTACGTGTTCCAGGATTCCCTGCGGGAGCTCTCCCTCTCCGGTTGCCCCCAGATCACAGAGCGAGGGCTCGCAGCCCTTCACCCCCTCAAGTACGTGACCCCATTTAGCTTTGTAGCCCCACCCCCCCCCGTAGATAAGTAGCTCAAGGTAGATAAATCGCCCGGTCCGGACGGGATTATTATGGGAGACACGGGTACAAATAGCGGAGGCTTTAGCCACAATTTTTCAATCTTCGTTGGACACAGGAGTGGTGCCCGAGGACTGGAGAGTGGCCAATGTGACTCTCCTGTACAAAAAGGGACAGAAGGACAAACCTGGGACTCCAGGCCAGTCAGCCTACATCAGTAGTGGGGAAACTCCTGGAGACTATAATCCGGGACAGAATAAATCTTCACTTAGAAGAATATGGGTTAATTAGGGACAGCCACAGGATTTGTTAAAGGCAAATCTTGTCTAACAAATCTAATAGAATTTTTCGATGAGGTAACGGAGAGGGTGGATAAAGGTAGTGCAGTTGATGTAGTTTATATGGACTTTCAAAAGGCATTTGACAAAGTGCCACATGAAAGACTTGTAAGAAAGATAGAAGCCCATGGTATAAAAGGGACAGTGGCAGCGGATCCAGAACTCACTGGGAGACAGAAAGCAGAGAGTTGTGGTGAACGGCTGCTTTTCTGACTGGAGGGAAGTGTACAGTGGTGTCCCCCAGGGATCGGTATTAGGACCACTGCTCTTCTTAATATACATAAATGATCTGGACTTGGGTATAGCAAGTACCATTTCCAAGTTTGCGGACGACACAAAGTTAGGGAGGGGGTAAACAGTGAGAAGGATAGGAGCCGACTGCAGGAAGACATAGACAGAATGGTAAAATGGGCGACACATGGCAGATGAGTTTCAATGTGGAGAAATGCAGTAATGCATTTTGGTAGAAAGAATGAGGGGCAATATAGGCGGTAATACAATCTTAAGGGGGTAAAAGAACAGAGAGACCTGGGGGGCAGGTAAATGAATCCTTGAAGGTGGCAGGACAGGGAGATAAGCTGTAAAAAGGGCATATGGGATACTGGGCTTTATAAATAGGGGCATAGAGTACAAGAGTCAGGAGGTTATGATTAACCCATATAAACACTGGTTAGGCCTCAGTTAGAATACTGCCCCAGTTCTGGGCACCGCACTATAGGAAGGATGTTAAGGCATTGGAAAGGGGCAGAGGAGATTTACGAGGATGGTACCAATCTTTAAACTGGAGAAAGTCCCAACTGAAATGGCCCCTCCAGTTTGCCCTGATCCAGGAGTCCTGCCCCTGAAACCTGGGCACACATCAGACATCATCATCATCATCATTAATAATCATATTTAATAATATTTAATATTTAAAAATAATATTTAATGTTTAATATTTAATAATAACCAGCAACTTGCATTTACACGTATAATAATAATAATAATAATAATAATAATAATAATAATAATAATAATAATAATCTGTGCAGTGACGGTGTGTTTTGGCGGCGCACGGCAGTGCCCGCAACAATCGCCGTGGGCCGCGTTTCGCCCGGAAAATACGCAACCAATTCCCGTCAGGGTGTGCCCTGCGCGGGGCTTTGGGACGTCTCGAAGCCGCGACAAGATTGTCATCACGATATCCCTTTCGTACCTCACACCTCCTTTCTGATTGAGGACGTAATAACTTGCTGCTACGTTCTCTCCGTACAGACTCTTTGTGTAGCCGTAATATCTGAAAAGACCCAGAGGCACAAGGATTGTAGCTTATATATCATAATAATAATTAATAATAATTAATAAGAGGGGGAGGGAGGGAGGGTTACAGCAAGTTTTTACAAGTACATAAGGAGGAAGAGACTGTCAAACCTGAATAATAATAATAATCCTTGCATTTGATATAGCGCTTTTCACGTCGGGAGGACGTCCCAAAGCGCTTCACAGAACACACTGTAAAGCGAATTGACTGTATATTTGTGGGCGAACGCGGCGGCCAATGGCGCACAGCAATGCCCCACAAACAATGTCCTGCTTTGACGGGGCAGAGGCCGTGAGACTGGTTGGAGAATCGAAAACTCGGGGGTCATAGCCTCGGGATTAAGGGTCAGCCTTTTCGAACTTATCCTTATTCACTTTGGTTTGCGCTCAGTGTTTTTCCACCGAAGTTGCTTCCACTTCTGTTTTCGTGCCATTCCACTTCTCCTTCCGAACAGGAGTCTCTCTCTCTCTCTTTCTCTCTCTCTCTCGCTCTCTCTCGCTGTGGCGCGAGGGTTGGAGCGGAGGGCGCGAGGGACGAGCCGGAGGCCGGAGCCCGGTCGAGCGCGGGCAGCGGGTAGCGGGTTGGACGGGAGTGGGGGTATGGAGGGGGGGGGGGGGAGGGAGGAGGTGGGAGCGTTCGCCTCGCAAACCGGAGGACCCGGGTTCGGTTCGATTCCCGGTCGGGTCAGGTTTCGCTCCGACGAGCCGCACAGTCGCTGCGCGTTCCCGTGAAGCTCCTCGAGGCGCCTCCAGGGCGCGGTGAGGCTGCGGGTCAGAGGCCAGGGGGGGGGGGCCGGCGGAGGGGGGGGGCCGAGGGCGCGAGGGCGACCGAGCCGCGGGCAGCCGGCGCGACTCACGCGTTCTTTCGGCGCAGGTTCCACCGCGCCAGGTCGGCCCCCCAGCCCAGAAGGCTCTCGACGTCGGAGAAGCGAGCGGCCAGGCTCCGCAGCGCCCGCCGCGGCCAGTGGGGGGCGCTCACCCCCGAGGAGGACCCTCGGCAGCCCGGGGGCAGCAGCCACCGGCAGCTCCGGAGCTGAGAACAAATAGTATTAATCATAATCATAATAATAATAATAATAATCCTCGGAGATTAATAATAATCTCCTCCCCCCTTCCCCCCCACCACCCCCCCCGCACACGCACACGCGCGCACACGCACGCGCGCACACGCACACGCCTGTCGGAAGGAACCCGCTTGTCGGCCGATTGGGGGGATCACTTTCCGGGGGTAATGAACCCCTTCAAAGTAAATAATAATAATAATAATAATAATTATTATTATTATTGATGATTAACTGATCAATAATAATGATAATTGATGATAACTGATGGGTCGCCCTCACCCGCGGCTGTTTGTGGGGGACGTCGCCGGACGCGATCGGCGGCCGCGTCTCGCCCACAAAACGCACAGTCACTACACTTTACGGCGTGTCCCGTGAAGCGCATTTGGGACACCCCCACCCCCCAGGGGGGGGACACAGACACCCCCACCCCCGGGGGGGGGGACACCCCCACCCCCACCCCCAGGGGGAGACACAGACACCCCCCACCCCCACCCCAGGGGGGGACACAGACACCCCCACCCCCGGGGGGGGACACAGACACCCCCCATCCCCAGAGGGGGACACAGACACCCCCACCCCCCACCCCCAGAGGGGGACACAGACACCCCCCACCCCCACCCCCAGGGGGGGAGACACAGACACCCCCAGTGGGGGGGGGACACAGACACCCCCCATCCCCAGAGGGGGACACAGACACCCCCCACCCCCACCCCCAGGGGGGGACACAGACACCCCCACCCCCACCCCCAGAGGGGGACACAGACACCCCCACCCCCAGGGGGGGAGACACAGACACCCCCACCCCCAGGGGGGGGGACACAGACACCCCCCACCCCCAGAGGGGACACAGACACCCCCCACCCCCCCCCAGGGGGGACACAGACACCCCCCACCCCCAGGGGGACACAGACACCCCCACCACCAGGGGGGAGACACAGACACCCCCCACCCCCAGGGGGGGACACAGACACCCCCCACCCCCAGGGGGAGACACAGACACCCCCACCCCCGGGGGGGGGACACAGACACCCCCCACCCCAGAGGGGACACAGACACCCCACCCCCACCCCAGGACACAGACACCCCCACCCCCAGGGGGGGACACAGACACCCCCACCCCCAGGGGGGGGACACAGACACCCCCACCCCCACCCCCAGGGGGGGACACAGACACCCCACCCCACCCCCAGGGGGGGACACAGACACCCCCCACCCCCACCCCCAGGGGGGGGGGACACAGACACCCCCCACCCCCACCCCCAGGGGGGGGGAGGACACAGACACCCCCCACCCCCACCCCCCGGGGGGGGACACAGACACCCCCACCCCCACCCCCACCCCCAGGGGGGGGGGACACAGACACCCCCACCCCACCCCAGGGGGGGGACACAGACACCCCCACCCCCACCCCAGGGGGGGGGGACACAGACACCCCCCACCCCAGAGGGGGACACAGACACCCCCACCCCACCCCCAGGGGGGGTCACAGACATCCCCCACCCCCAGAGGGGGGGTCACAGACACCCCCCACCCCCAGAGGGGACACAGACACCCCCACCCCAGGGGGGACACAGACACCCCCACCCCCGGGGGGGACACAGACAGACACCCCCCACCCCCACCCCCCGGGGGGGGGGACACTGACTGAGATGAGCGTCACTCACCGCTTTGGGGGCCGCCATTTTGTCCGCACACGTGACCTCGGCGGCCGGACATGCGCAGTGCGGCCCAAACACTGCACCGCAACGCCAACGACAAACACTGAACAATAACTAATGATCAATAATAATAACTAATAATAATAAATGGATATTAAATAATACTAATAACTAATGATAAATAATAATGTTAAATAATAATAAATAATAATAAATGGATATTAAATAATACTAATACATAATAATATTAAATAATAACTAATGATAAATAATAATGTTAAATAATAATAAATAATAATAAATAATAATAAATGGATATTAAATAATACTAATACATAATAATATTAAATAATAATAACTAATGATAAATAATAATGTTAAATAATAATAAATAATAATAAATAATAATAAATGGATATTAAATAATACTAATACATAATAATATTAAATAATAATAATAACTAATAATAAATAGATATTAAATAATACTAATAGGGTCGGGGGGAACGTGGCTGGAGGGCGCGGGGCGGGTTGGTGGGGGGGGGGGTGAGGCGGTGGCAGAGGGAGGGTGGGGACGAGGCCACGGAGGGCTTTGGAGGTGAGGACCGGGGGGGCGAGAGTGGGGGAGATGGGGGGTCACGGAGTCGGGGGCGGGAGAGGACGCGGGCGGCAGAGTTCTGGCTCATCCGCAGTCGGCGGAGGGACGAGTTGGGGAGTTTGCATCGTCGAGCCCAGAGCTTCAGCGTAGTGACCGCGCGTTTCGTGTCTGGGCGAAACACGGCAGACATTTGCGCACGGCCCCCGCGCCCCATCCCCCCCACCCTCCCCCACCCCACCCCACTCCTCCCCCACCCCCACGCAGACAAGTGGCGGTGGTTTCGAGTGACCGCATTATTTTAAACACAAAAAAGGGGATTATTAACCACCGGAAAAACCAGTTCGGCGAACAGCCCGGTTCCTGCTTCCTGCTGGGAAAACAGAGGCGTGTGCGTGTGTGCGTGTGTGTGTGTGTGTGTGTCCCTCTACATGCTACACCTTGGGGACATCACCCCTCCCACGGGCTCGGGCCCCGACACCTGACTGTTCAGCGCTTCGGGACGTTCTCCCGACGCGAAAGGCGCTCTATAGATGTCGATTCGTTGTTGTGTGTGTGTGTGTGTGTGTGTGTCCGTGTGTTTCTGTGTGTGTGTGCGTGCGTGCGTGCGTGTCTGTGCGCGCGCGCGCGTGTGTTTCTGTGTGTGCGTGTCTGCGCGCGTGTGTGTGTGTCTGTGTGTGTGCGTGTCTGTGCGTGTCTGCGTGTTTGCGTGCGCGCGCGCGCGTGCCTGTGCGTGCGCGTGTGTGTGTTCCGGTGTGTGCGTGTCTGTGTGTGCGTGCGTGTCTGTGTGTGTCTGCATGTTTGAGTGTGTCTGCATGTTTGAGTGTGTGTGTGTGTGTGTGTTTCTGCGTGTGTGCGTCTGTGCCCTTGTGTGTGTGTGTGTGCGTGTGTGTGCGTGTCCGTGTGTGTGTGTGTGCGTGCGTGTGTGTGTCTGTGTGGAGTTAATCAATCCCAAGTCGATCATCTCTCTCTCTCTCTCTCTCTCTCTCTCCCTCCGGCACTAAGTAGAATCGCAGCTGTTAGTGTTCGGGTCGGGCGGTTCCCGGGGGCGATAAATCCTCCCGGCAGATAATTACACGTCACGCGATCCACTCTCTCGCTCTCCGTGACAAGCGTGACGGCCGCCGTGTGCCGCCCGCGGGACACCCGTTGGGTCAACTCCACCCGGCGTGGCAGCTCTCCGAGACCTCGGCGCGCGGCTCCGTACGCGCCGCGCCCGACGCGAAGCCCTGTTTCTTTTCGTGAGTGGCGAAGGGGAGAGAGAGAGAGAGAGAGCGAGAGAGAGGGAGAGGGAGAGAGAGAGAGAGAGGGAGAGAGAGAGAGAGAGCGAGAGGGAGAGAGCGAGAGGGAGAGGGAGAGAGAGAGAGCGGAGGTAACGACCCCCTCGTTGCTGCAGGGCTTCGTTTGCGTAGGTCCCCGAGCGACCGACTTTGACTCGCAAACGATGACGCGATGAGATTAACCCTCGGGGGGTGGTGGGGGGGGGGTGGGGATGGGGAGGGGGGAGGTGGGGGGGGTGGGGATGGGGAGGGGGGGAGGTGGGAGGGGGTTAAGGATAAGCCTCTTTTCCACAGTCCTGGGTGTGGTTCGAAAAACCAACCGGAAGTGTAGTGCGTGTCTTTCTGTCCGCCCCGTTATGTCAACATGTCGAAGGGTGTTGTCTGTCTGTTTAGGAAACCAGAGGTTGTGTTGTTTGGAGATTTTGAACTCCGACTCTAACCCCCCCCGTCCCCCCCCCCCCCACCCCCTCGCTCCCGGCTCAGGGGGTAGTGGGTTCGAGCCCCCGCCCGACACAGCACAATGCTGGGGGAGAGAGAGAGAGAGAGAGAGAGCTTTGCCCGCAAAACACACACGGTCACTACACACTCGACGGCGCGACCCCCCCCACCACCCACCCCCTCACTCCCGGCTCAGGGGGTTGTGGGTTCGAGCCCCCGCCCGACACAGCACAATGCTGGGAGAGAGAGAGAGAGAGAGCTTTGCCCACAAAACACACACGGTCACTACACACTCGACGGCGCGACCCCCCACCCCCCCCCACCCCACCACCCACCCCGAAGCGCTTCGAGACGCGAAAAGGGGTGGGGGTGGGGTGGGTGGGTGGGGGGGGGTCGATCGTGTTCACGCAATCAAGCCGGGTGTTCCCCACCCGTTCGGGGGTCAACCCCCGAGAGGATCCCAAAGAGGAATCCAGGAGGAACCGGTTCGATCGGGAGGGAGTCGCGCGGACCCGTCGGATGGTCGCGCCGGTGGGGGGGACGCGGCCGCGGGTCGGGGGGGTTTGGGGGGGAGAGGGGAGAGGTGGGAGAGCGGGCGAGGCTCGGACGAAGAGGAAGCGAGGGGTGGGGGGGTGGGGGGGGGAGAGGGGGGGGAAGGGAGGTGGTTGTGTTTGCATTCAAGAGGAAACTGGCGTCTCACGTGAGCGTGAGAGTGAGAGGAAGTGGCCGGGAGATGTGTGGACAGGATAAACACAGGCGCAAACCGGTCGGACTTGTTTGTCGGATGCCGGAGCAAGGCAGGGTCCATGTTTATTCAAGGGGCGGGTGGGGTGGGGGGTGGGGGGGGGGGTGGTGGGGGGTGGGGAGCTCGAGGGGCAAATGAGGAACGAGGCAACACAGAGAGAGAGAGAGAGAGAGGCTCAGCACTTCGGGAAATAATACTATTCATTTGGGGCTAAATTGAATCCCCAAATCGCTGGTGGGGCGATGGGGGAGGTGGTGGTGGTGGTGGTGGGGGGGTGGGGGGGGGGGGTGGGGGCAGCAGGAGGACTTGTGGACCGAGATTGTGTTCGAACAATCCTCGCCTCGCACGTCACGGCCCCCTGGAGCGCGGGGGTTAGACCCCTCCTCGCCTCGCACCCCACAGCCCCTGGAGCTCGGGGGTTAGACCCCTCCTCGCCTCGCACCCCACAGCCCCTGTAGCTCAGGGGTTAGACCCCCCCCTCGCACCCCACAGCCCCTGTAGCTCAGGGGTTAGACCCCCCCCCCTCGCACCCCACAGCCCCTGTAGCTCAGGGGTTAGACCCGTCCCCTCACAAGCCAGAGGACCCGAGTTCGATTCCCGGGCGGGTCAGGTCAGGGGGCAAAACCCCCCTTTCACCACCCCCACCCCCACCCCCACCCCACCACAAAAAAAATATAAGACAAATGCCAACGTAACAGCAAACCCGATGGGAGAGGGTCGTTGTGGGGTAGAATTGGGTGGATTTTATTTTATTTATTAGGGGTTAGTTCCACGTTACATTTTTCGATCGGGTTTCAGCGAAAGCAAAACACTTCGCGATCGCTCTCCGTGCGATCTCCCAAAGTTACGTCTCAGCCGGCGCTCGCCACAGACTCTCGAGTCGGAAGTTTGTGGGTTGAAGCCCTGACTTTGGGGCACTGGTAGTGCTTGGGGGGGGGGGTAGTCTGGCCAGGACTGGGGGGGATCGGGGAGAGGGGTTTTGGGGGTGGGGGAGGACGTGGGGGACCCAGGACTGGGGGGATCGGGGTTTGGGTTTGGTGAGGGTGAGAATGTGGGCGGCAGAGTTCTGGATGGCGGCGGAGGAGGGCGTTAGAGTAGTGGGGCGGTGCTGGTGAGGGACCGGATGTGGGGGAGGAAGGATAATTGGGGGTCGAACCTGACACCCGGGTTGTGTTCGGGTTCGGGGAGATATAGGGGGAGGTCGGGTAGGAGGAGGAGGTGAGAGCCGTGAGATTCAAGACGTTGACCAGAGCCAACGGATGGGTATTACCCCGACTGGTCCCCACTCTTCCCCCGTAACCCTGCGCACTGTTCCTCTTCAATTCCCTTCGGGAAAAACTAGTATCGAATCTGCTTCCCAGGAGCGTTGGGAGCTTTTCCACCCGAACAGCGAGTTCCGAGCAAATTATAACCGGGGGGTTCCTTGACAATCTCCTCGTCAGAATTCGCCCCGTTATCTTAACACCTGCGACCTCTTCGCTGGCCGTGGGTTTCCTAGCACTTCAGCTCCGGGTTACGGACGGCTTCCCAGAGCCAGGTGACCTCCAGGGGGGTTCGCTGGTGAACGAGGAGGAGGTCTCGGTGAACGCAAGGGTCTCTGCGGTGCCGCTGGTCGATATCGAACGTCCTGAACCCCTCGTGGTGGGTGGGCGACACCCCCAGCGCCAGGAAACACATGCCGGTGAACACGTCGTCGATGGGGAAAAAGGGGATGTAGTGGGAGACGGCGTAGAGGGGTTTGATCAGGGAGCCCGAGTACACGAAGCCCCCTCCACCCATGTACCCCGGGTAGGCTCCTTCGTATAGCGTGGAGGGGATGAAGTACTTGCTCTTGAGGTCGCGCAAGGGGCTGGCGTTGAGGATGCTTTGGCCCAGATAGATGGGGGAGGAGGTCTCGGTCTGGTTCAGGCTCCGGAGGTGGCTGACCAGGGCGGGCGTGTTGAGGAAGATGTCGTCGTCCCCTTTGAAGATGTACCTGGCGCCGGGGCAGTGGGTGTCGGCCCATCTCAGGAACAAGGTGTCCTTCAGGGTCAGGTTGAAGAGGGTGTCCCTGAAGTCCCACTGGAGCAGATCCCCGTACAGCCCGTCTTCGAACCCCAACAGCGCCTTGAGGTTCGGCCCGTAACCTTCCCCGCGGCTGGAGCCCAGGAGGAAGACCAATCGGACCTCCAGTCCTTCCACCTTGCCCTCCTTGCCCCACGTCTCCCGGATGGCCTGCCTCCTCTCGAAGCTGCCCACCACCGACTTGACCACCAAGAGCAGAAAGGGCTCGGGCTGGCACTTGCGAGGGTGGTCGATGAGCTGCGGGAAATGCCTACAGCCAATGTATCGCACAAAGTCCTTGAGGGGCTGAGGGTAGGTGTTGAAGTTGTCGATGCTCCCGTGCCCGTCGGTAAGCTGGCACCGGGGCGGGATGTAAACCCCCGATGTTTCCAGTAGTAGGTCCACCAGCTGGAACATCTGATGTTGGCGCTTGTTCCAGAAGGCACTCTTCACTGGGACAAAGTTCTTGAACTGATGGGAAATTTGGATCAGTTCCACTCTGGCGACCGGTTGGGTTGTCTCCGAGGTGTTGTTTAGGTTCCTCGGCCGGTACCCGCGCTGCGGGATTCTGAAGATGTTCACGAAGACGTTGATCAGACAGATTCCCAAGACTCCGAACACGACTCCATTCTGAACGTTCAAACGCATCATCTGGAGAGAGAGAGAGAGAGAGGGAGAGGGAGAGAGAGAGAGAGAGAGCGAGAGAGCGAGAGAGAGAGAGAGGGAGAGCGAGAGAGAGGAGAGAGAGAGAGAGGGAGAGAGAGAGAGAGGGAGAGAGGGGAGAGAGAGAGGAGAGAGAGGAGAGAGAGAGAGAGAGAGAGGGAGATCAAGGTGAGGACCAGGTAGCCAGAAGGCTAGTGGACCAGACGCTAGTACTGATCCTACCCTTTGGGTGGGTGGGGAGGTTGACGATGGCACCCAGGAAGTGATGCAACCCAACGAGGTTCGGACGTTTGTCAAGACGGGGGCTTTCGACGACCCCCCCCACCACAGAAAAAACCTTCGCCCCCTCGCTCCTCGTGTCTCTCGCTCGTTCCGTGGCGGTTTCCCGAGGCTCGCAAGCCCCCCCCGACCCCCTCCCCCCTCCCCCGCCACCACCACCCCCCCCTTAGCCGGGTACGTGAGGAGCCTTCGAGACGTACCCCCTCCAGAGTCGGGCGTAAGAAACACAAGAGCCCGGTGTCGTTTGAGGTTCCTTTGAGGACTCGCTCGGGAAAGTGGGGGGTGGGGGCTGGAGGCGGGGAGGGTGGGGGGGGGGAGAGGGGAAAGCGGGGTGCGACGTCGGTGGTGTCAAAGGGTCTCGAGGGGCGCTGTTGGGGGGGGTGCGCGCGCACGACGTGTGATGAAGGCGTCGGATCGAAGGCAGAGATTAATCAACATGGCTCATAGTTATTTAGATCCGTCCGACCCCCCTCCCACCCCCCACCCCCCCCCCACCCCCACCCCCCACCCCCACCCCCCACGATGACGAAAGTATTTTTATCTCGTGGTTTGCGCTGACGTCATCTCGGCTGCTCCCAGTTGAGTAAACCCTCCATCAAACCCCCTCCCTCCCCACACACACACCCCCTCTCTGTCTCTCCCCCGCTCCCCCCCACCCCCTCACCCACCCCCCCACCCCCCCACCCACCCCCCACCCGGTGAAACTTGCCGCGGGCAAATTACTTCCCGCACCGGTGGAGGAATCCTCAGTTGCGGTCAATGATTAAATCAAGACGGCCGTCGGTACAAAGTTATTTCTTATCTGCCGGTATCCTGGCCAACAGGCGTGTGTGCGAAAAACACAGTCACTACGCCGCACAGTATAATCTGCAAAGCCCTCTGGCCTCTGGTTGCCGACCCCACCCTCCCCAAGGATTCAATCTGACCCCAGCGGCAAATTTCTCGCCCGTTCCAGTTTTCCATCCTCTTTTGCTTATTAATTAAATTGAAAAAAAATGGGGGTTAGACCCCACTCCCCCCACTCCCCCCAACCCCCCCCCCCAACCGCCCCTCGCCTTACGGGTGAGAGAGAGAGAGAGAGAGAGGAACCGGGTTCGATTCCCGGGCGGGTCAGGTCGGGGTTAAAACCCTTACTCTCTATTCCTTACCTTATTTCCTTACTCCCCTCCCCACCCTGTTTCGCCCACAAAACACACAGTCACTACGCCCCACGGAGTCTGGTGACATGCTTTAATGACGGCTTTAAACGGCTCGCGGGCGGTGGCGTGAGAGGGAAAGCTCATCATCATCGTCGTCGCCATCATCATCATCATTATCATTATTATTATTAAGACATCATTTGGATCCATTATTATTATTATTATTATTATTATTATTATTAAGACATCATTTGGATCCACTCTCACTGGAAGCGAAGGAAGCTTTTGGGGGGTGAGACCAGACATCTCTGACCTCCCCCCCCCCACCCCACCACCCACCCCCCCACCCCCCACCCACCCCCCAAACGGTGGGAGCTTTGAGCTGAAGAAACGTCACGTCAAGAGAGCAAAGTCTTCTTACCTCCTTATGTATTGGTGGAGTTCGAGGACAAGAGATCTCTCTCTCTCTCTCTCTGTGTCTCTCTCTCTCTCTTTCGTTTCCTCCTTCTCTCTCTCTCTCTCTCTCTCTCTCTCTCTCTATCTCTTTCTTTTCCTCCTTCTGTCTCTCCCCCTCTCCCTCCGTCGCTCTCTCTGACTCTCAGCTTCTCTCAGTGTCAATTGTCCCTCCAGACTTCCGCGTCTCTCACCGATACACCACAGGTTCCAATCATTTGCACTTTACCTCCGCACTCACTCTCTCTCTCTCTCTCTCACTCTCACTTTCCTCTCTCTCTCTCTCTCTCTCTCGCACACTCTCTCTCTCTCTCTCTCTCTCTCTCCAGGTTACCTGAGGAGGTGCCTTATCCCCGACGGCTGCTGTGTGGTCCCCTCAGACCTGCGGACGTGTGTATTTTTTTGGGACCGGACAACCTCTCTGCCCCCAGACTTGCCTTAACCGTTTCCTTCCCTCGTTGCGGGTCTCTGATAACAACCGGTGTGTGTGTGTGTGTGTGTGAGACAGTCGGGGGTTTGTCTCCGCGGCTCTCGTCTCGCGAGCCAGAGGTTCGATTCCCGGGCGGGTCGGGGCGGGTCGGGTCGGGACGGGTCGGGACGGTCGGGTCAGTTCGGGACTGGTCGGGTCAGGTTGGACGGGTCGGGTCGGGACGGACGGGTCGGTTCGGGACGGGTCGGGTCAGGTTGGACGGGTCGGGTCGGGTCGGGACGGGTCGGATTGGGTCGGGCCGGTTCGGGTTGGGACGGGTCGAGACGGGTCGGTTCGGGTCGGGACGGGTCGGGTCGGGTTGGGATGGGTCGGGACGGGTCGGGTCGGGCCGGTTCGGGTCGGGACGGGTCGAGACGGGTCGGGACGGTTCGGGTCGGGACGGGTCGGGACGGTTCGGGTCGGGACGGGTCGGGTCGGGACGGGACGGGTCGGGACGGTTTGGACGGGTCGGGACGGGTCGGGTCGGGACGGGTCGGGACGAAATCTTGAGCCAGTTCCCTCCCTCCCTCCCTCCCTCCCTCCCTCCCTCTCCCTCCACCCCCACACTCACACCCACACACACCTCTGTTAAGTCGATCGGGTGGGGGGTGGGGGGGGGGATCGCTTTCCGGGGGTAACGATCCCTCGGCCAACGTTTCGCCCACGAAACGCGCGGTCACTACGCTCGACGGGCGCGATCCCGCGAAGGGCTTTGAGGGAGGGACGTCGTCTCGGTTGGAAGCCCCCACACCCCCCCCCCACCCTCCGCGTCCGGAGCTCCGAAAGGCGACGGTCGGGGCGAGGCCCGGGGACGACCGTGGGAATGGCCATCGAGGGTCCGTCCCGTCGACAACGCCTCCGATTCCGCCCCGAAACCACAGGAAGGAAAGAGCGAAGGAAAGAGAAAGGAAAAGGAAAAGAAAAGAGAAGAAAAGAAAAGAAAAAGCTGAGGATTTGGGGGTTTCATTGCTACGGTGATTTCGCTCGATGCCAACGCTTTGGGTAGTGGTCTTCATAGGGGACCTTTCTTTCTCCCCCCACCCCCACCCCCCACCCTCCTAACTTCTCTCTCTCTCTCTCTCTCTTCTCTCTCTCTCATTCTCTCTCATTCTCTCTCTCTCTCTCGTTCTCTCTCTTCGTGCGGCAAATATCATACGAGTGCGTACAAAAAAAATTCTTTAATACAAAGAGACACAACATAGTTGGGGGGTTTTCTGCAAAGTCCTGTTACTCCCGAACCCCCACCCCCCCCCACCCCCCACCCCCCCCCCACCCCCCACCCAGACCCACACCCCCCTCACCCCCCCACCCCCATTGCACCACAGTGATAAGAGACGTCAGTGATATAGCTTTGCCGCCTCACTCCTCACTCCCTCCGTCCACGTTACAGAAGGTGTCACACCAAACACTATGATCCGCCATGAAAATGGTGGGTGCGCACACACACACACACACACAGACGCACACACACACTCACACACACACAGACGCACACACACACTCACACACACACAGACGCACACACACACTCACACACACACAGACGCACACACACACACACACAGACGCACTCACACACAGACACAGACGCACTCACACAAACACACACACACACAGAAACACAGACAGACACACACACAGACACACACACACACACACAGACACAGACAGACAGACTCACACACACACACAGAGACACAGACAGACACACACACAGACACACACACAGACACACACACACACACACAGAGACAGACACACACACACAGACACACACACACACACAGACGCACTCACACACAGACACACACACAGACACACACACACAGACACACAGACGCATTCACACACACACACAGAGACAGACACACACACAGACTCACACACGCACACACACAGACGCGCTCACACACACAGGGTCGGGTGGTGGAAACATGAGGGGTATCAGGACTTTGTAGATTAGTGCACATGTGTCACTGTGTGTAACATCACCAAATTTCTAGTCGGTTATTTAGATAAGTGCGAAGTCAGACGTACGTACACAATCACTCACACACACTCACACTCACACACACACTCACACACACACACTCACACAATACCACACACACTCACACTCACACACACTCACACACTCACACACACACACTCACACACTCACACTCACACTCACACACTCGCACAATAACACACACTCACACACACACAATAACACACACTCACACACTCGCACAATAACACACTCGCACACACACAATGACACACACACGCTCGCATAATCACACACACACAATAACGCACTCACACACAATAACACGCTCACACACTCACACAATAACACACTCACATTCACACAATAGCACACTCACACTCGCACAAAAACCCACTCACACTCGCACAATAACACTCACACTCGCACAATAACACACTCACACTCGCACAATAACACACTCACACTCGCACAATAACACACTCACACTCGCACAATAACCCACTCACACTCGCACAATAACCCACTCACACTCGCACAATAACACACTCACACTCGCACAATAACCCACTCACACTCGCACAATAACACACTCACACTCGCACAATAACCCACTCACACGCACTCACTCGCACAATAACACACTCGCACAATAACACACACAGTCACACACACAGTCACGCACGCACACGCACGCACGCACACACACACGCACACGCACACGCGTGCGCGCGCCTCTGGTTACCAGTCAGTAGGAACTCGCTCGTTAGTTGATTGACGGATCGCTGTATCGGGGGGTTCACAATCCCTTAAAAAATACAATAATAATAACGTGGCCACTCAGTCCAGGACGGTTTGTGGGGACACCCCCTTACCCCACCCGCTGGTACCCCGTTGCCCCCCACCGCCCCAGCCCTCGCCAGCCTCCCCTGGCCCCCGGTCACCGCACGGAAGACCCTCTCACTCGTCCCCAAATCCCCTGACACATCCCTCCCTCCCTCTCCGACCTGCTTACCCCCCCCCACTCCCGCCCGCCCGCCCCCCATCCCACTACCCGCTGCCTCCGTTCGACTGGCGTCCACTTCCCCTCGTGCCCTCTGTGCCACCCTCAGTAGCCGCTCTTTCAACCACTACGCCCCCAAATATCTGGAACTCTCTCCCTCTAATCCCCCCCCTCCGCCTTTGCCCCCTCCTTCCCCTCTTTCGGATCGTGTCTGAAAATCTTCCTCTTCGACCAGTGCTTCATCACCTTCTCCCCCCTCACCGCCCCCTCCGCCCCCCTCACCGCCCCCACCCCCACCCCCCCCCCCACCCCGGTCTTTTTGTCATGGTCCTCACTGTTACGTTAAGAAATAATAATTAATAATAATCATTAGTATTATTTTTGTCACATTGGTTTGAGACGTGTGTTGGCGTGTGGGGAGGGAGGGTGTCAGCCGGGCGTCTGACACACACGGAAACCCGTCACCGTGACCGGTCGGGTGTCCGACACACACGGAAACCCGTCACCGTGACCGGTCGGGTGTCCGACACACACGGAAACCCGTCACCGTGACCGGTCGGGTGTCTAACACACACGGAAACCCGTCACTGTGGCTTAAGAGTCTCCAAACCCGACTGAGAATTCCCCACATCCCCTCCACACCCGGGAACCCCAGAGAGAGAGTGTCGGGATGGGATGCGCTCTCTCTCTCTCTCTCTCTCTCCCTGGAGGGACGCCCCCTGTTCACCTAATTCCGGAGAGTATTAGGCGCAGGTTGGGCGAGGGAGGCGGAGGGGGGGGAGGCGGAGGGGGGGGGAGGCGGAGGGGGGGAGGCGGAGTGGGGGGGGAGGCGGAGGGGGGCGCGGAGTGGGGGGTGTTGGGTTGTCGAAGGCGCCATTCTTCGGGATCAGACGTTAAACCCTCAATCACTCCCCCCGTCGGTCTGTTCGGTGGTGGTGGGGGGGGGGGGGGCGGGGGGGTTTTCCCCCAGGGTTTGGGGGAGGGGGGTGGGGGGGGGCGAGAAAACAGTCTCTCTCTGTGTCTCTGTCTCTGTCTCTGTCCGACATTCCTCCCCGGATGAAAGCGGTCGCTCGATTCGTGGCGAAGATGCGCAAGTCACTACACTCCGCGGTGGAAGCTTCAGGTGGGACGGGGGTGGGGGAAGGGGAGGGGGTGGGGAGGGGGGATGGTGGGCGGGGTGGGGGGGGAATGGTGAGGGTGGGTGGGGTGGGAATGGGGGAATGGTGGGGGGGTGGGGCGCGGGTGGGGGGCGGAGGGGGGGGGAATGGGGGGTGGAGGCGGGTGGGTGGGGTTGGGGGGGGGGCGTAGTGGGGGGGAAAACATAGGGATCATCACCATCATCACCATCATCATCATCATAATAATATTATTAATATCTTTGGTTCTGGAGTTGGAGCGAAATCAGTCCTCGTGTTCTCTCTCTCTCTCTCTCTCTCGTTCGCTCCCTCTCCCTCTCCCTCTCTCTCTCTCTCCCGCATCACGTGGCGCGAGAGCCTTCCCCGAGGCTCCCCGTGAGGCTGACCTTCCGCGGGGTCTGGCCCCCGGGGGCCGGGAGGAAGGGTTGGGTGAGGCTGACCTGGGCTCCGCTGAAGATGGCGGTGCGAGCTGCGCCCCCTATCTGCAGGTTGACGGTAGTGGAGTAACTGGCCCTCGAGACCGACCCCTTCCCTTTACCGCCGCCGGTCGCCCTCTCCGCCTCTCCCGGCGTCCGCGCCCCCGGAAGACCCTCGGCTCTGTCCCGGTCGCCGCGGCCCGGGACCGGGGAGCGGGAGGAGGGGGGAGGGGGAGCGCCCGGAGGACGCTGAGCCGACCGGGATTTGGGGGCGGGACACGGTGCGGGGGGTGGGGGGGGTGCGGGAGAGGGAGGGGGCGGTTGGGTCAGGACGGTGATGTAGAGGGAGATGGCGTCCGGGCGAACGGGCAGTGGTCCCGGTCCCGGGGACGGCGACCGGATTCTCCTCGCCGCGTGGACGGAACCGGGAGCGCGGGCGGTAACCGCCGCCGGTGACGGGAAGCTCGAGGAAGAGGAGGAGGAGGAGGAGGAGGAGGAAGGGGCGTCGGTGTCGCGAATGCACGGCGTCGCCGAGTTTCCCGCCATCTCTTCGCCGATCGGTAACGCCGCGGGGGCCGGGGGTGAGGAAAGGGTGGGGTCAACGGGAGACAACCGGCGAGTGGGGGGAGGGGGCGACGGCGAGGCGTCCGGCGAGAGGGGCCGCCGAGGGGGCGAGGCGTCGGGTGACGGCGGGCGACCGACGGGTCCCAGACCCCCGGTCTCGGCGCAGGTTCCCACCGGAGGATCTTCCTCCGGTTCCCTCCGAGGCGCCTCGCGGTGGTGGCGGGGGCGGTGGCCTTGGTGCCGGTAGCGGGGGCGGGGGCGGTGGGGGCGGGGGCTGGGGCTCGGGCTCGGGACGGGGTCCGTCTCCGGTGAAGAGCGACCGGCCGGTCCCCCGCTTAACGGAGGAGAGGCGTCGAGTCCCTCCGGTTCCCGCTCCCGGGGACGCGGTTGGACACCGGGCGGTCCTCCGCCACGGGGCGGGGGGGGGGACGCGGGACGGGATTGGGGGGCGAGGGGCGGGGGGAGAGCCAGCGACTGGGGCCGGTGACCGGCGAAGGTCGGCCGTTCTTCCGAGGGGGCGTCCGGTGGTTGGTTCCGATGCTGCTTCCCGTGGGGGCAGGAGGGGGGCGACCGGGACCGGGACCGGGGGTCGGGGTGGAGCGGCTGGGGCTGCGCATCCGAGGAGGGGGTGCGGGGCTCGTCCTGCCCCCCACCCCCGGGGCTTTTCGGGGGCCAACGGGGCTTTGCCAACGGCGGGTCGGACGGGGGGGGAACCGGGAGCTCCGGGCAGGTCCTCGCCCCCAGTCGGGGGGGTTCCGAGGAGGTGGTGAGGGGGCAGAAGGGGGGGCAGGGGACCGGCTGCGCCGTGTGGGTGGGGGCCCAAGCCGGGGCCGGGGCGGGGGCCGCGGGGCTCCGGGACGGACTCCGGAGCGTCTGCTCGATCTGCCGGACGGCGGACGGGGATCTCCCCCGCAGGCTGACCCAGGTGGGCAACGGGCAACACGCCTCCGGGCCGGGGCAGAGCAGGAGGGCGGGGTAACGGGCCGCCGGGGGCGACGCCCGGCCCGGCGACGCCAACCAGTCGGCGGCGACTGGCGCCAAAGCGCCTGCGAGCGTCTCGCCTGGCGACGCCTGGCCAAAGCTCTCCCGGTTGGGAGAGCGCCCACCGGGGGCTGCCCGGGAACAGGAGGAGGGGGTGAGGTGCCCGGGCCCGGGCGGGGACGGGGCAATCCAATCCGGGCTGGGAGACCGGGTACCGGAGATGCCCCCGGTCATGGCGGGAGGTCGGCTGGCCCGAAATGGGGGGCTGACGTCCACCCCTGAAGGCAGCCCTCGGGCCCGCTTCGCCTCCCGCTCCGAAGGTCGGGGGGCCACGGGGAGGGGAGGGGCCGTGGGTGGAGGAGGAAGGGTAAGGGGAGAGTCGGAGCAGAGGGGAGCGGAGAACTGAGGAATGGGAGCCGTCGTTGGCGGAGAAGACGCCATCGTTGGAGGAGACGTTATCGTTGGAGAAGAAGACGCCATCGTTGGAGGAGACGTTATCGTTGGAGAAGAAGACGCCATCGTTGGAGGAGACGCTATCGTTGGAGAAGAAGACGCCATCATTAGAGGAGAAGACGCCATCATTAGAGAAGACGACTCCATCTTTGGAGAAGACGCCATCGTCGGAGGAGAAGACGCCATCGTCGGAGGAGAAGACGCCATCGTCGGAGGAGAAGACGCCATCGTCGGAGGAGAAGACGCCATCGTCGGAGGAGAAGACGCCATCGTCGGAGGAGAAGACGCCATCGTCGGAGGAGAAGACGCCATCGTCGGAGGAGAAGACGCCATCGTCGGAGGAGAAGACGCCATCGTCGGAGGAGAAGACGCCATCGTCGGAGGAGAAGACGCCATCGTCGGGAGAAGACGCCATCGTCGGAGGAGAAGACGCCATCGTCGGAGGAGAAGACGCCATCGTCGGAGGAGAAGACGCCATCGTTGGAGACGAAGACGTCATCGTTGGAGACGACGCCATCTTTGGAGACGACGCCATCGTTGGAGGAGAAGACGCCATCGTTGGAGGAGAAGACGCCATCGTTGGAGGAGAAGACGCCATCGTTGGAGGAGAAGACGCCATCGTTGGAGGAGAAGACGCCATCGTTGGAGGAGAAGACGCCATCGTTGGAGGAGAAGACGCCATCGTTGGAGGAGAAGACGCCATCGTTGGAGGAGAAGACGCCATCGTTGGAGGAGAAGACGCCATCGTTGGAGGAGAAGACGCCATCGTTGGAGGAGAAGACGCCATCGTTGGAGGAGAAGACGCCATCGTTGGAGGAGAAGACGCCATCGTTGGAGGAGAAGACGCCATCGTTGGAGGAGAAGACGCCATCGTTGGAGGAGAAGACGCCATCGTTGGAGGAGAAGACGCCATCGTTGGAGGAGAAGACGCCATCGTTGGAGGAGAAGACGCCATCGTTGGAGGAGACGCCATCGTTGGAGGAGACGCCACCGTTGGAGGAGACGCCACCGTTGGAGAAGAAGATGCCATCGTTAGAGGAGAAGACGCCATCGTTGGAGAAGAAGACGCCATCGTTAGAGAAGAAGATGCCATCGTTGGAGAAGAAGATGCCATCGTTGGAGAAGATGCCAACGAACTCCATGGCTGTTGAGTCTCTGCCTCTGGTTCCGAGGGGAGGGGAGGTTGGGCACCGGAGGCTGGTTGACCGCAAGGAATCTGGTCCTTGGAGGCAGAGACTCGGACCGTGTTCTCCTGGGCGTAGTAGATGGGAATCGGTTCTCGGACAACCAGGTGCCCGTAAGGCGGCATCTCTTCGAGCAGCTGGACCTCATCTGGCGAGGGAAGCGAAAGCAGAGACCTCAGCATTTCGAGGGCGTAAATCGGCCGCCGTGTTTCACCCACGAAACCCACGGTCCCTGGGGGTGGGTGGGGGGGGTCCCGAGAAGCGCTCAGGGGTCATCAGGCGCTGGGTCAAACGTGAGAATCTCTCTCTCTCTCTCTCTCTCTGGAGGGAAGCCCTCTGCTTACCTAATTCCGGAGAGGGTTGGGCGCAGGTTGGGCGAGAGCCAAGGCTTGGGGTGGGAGTGGGGGGGGTGGGGGGCAGAGTGAGCGTTGGGGTAACTGCTGGGGTCTAACCAACTAAACCCACACAGCTCGGCCATCCAGAGAGAGAGAGAGAGACCACCCTCCCCGTTAGTTAGTTAGGGGTTTGGTTTGTTGGGTTAAGGGGAGCTGAGGGGGAGCATTCCCTGCTCCCCAATGACTGGTCGGCCCTTCCAGGGTCCTACCAATGAGCCGGGCCGGGCCGGGCTGGGTAGGTTTGGGCTTACCATCAACCCTGAGGACCTGCCCGGCCAGGAACCAACCTGGAGAGACAGAAGATCCCCATTGCGCTGAGCGGTGCGAGAGAAGCGAAAGGTACGGCTTTACTGACCACAGTTGGGGTTGTCCTCTTGACGAGCCGTGGCCAATTCCAGGCCCGGTCTCCTCCTCTTCTTCTCCTGCCTCGTCGGGGCCTTGGCCGGGGGGGCTGCTCGCTCCCAGCTCCTGCGCTGGGCCGTGGAGGGAGCCTTCATCTTGCTGATCCTCTGGCTGTACATCTTGGCCAGGAGTTGGACCTTGTTGATGATCTTCTCCGAGTTCTGGAAGGGGCAGGTCTCCTGGTCCAGACAGGGCGGAATCCCGGAGATTTCGTGCTTCACGCAGCAGGAAGCCGGGCTCCCGTGCCATTCCCCGTCGGGGAAACCTTCCGCGGGGCCTGGTCGGCAGGCCTCTTCCTCTCCGCCATCTTCCTCGCCAACGCCGGGCAACCCCTCGCTCCCCCTCACCCTCTCCCTCTCCGGCTCCAGCTGAGGACCCTCCGGGTCGCCCAGATCGGAGTCCTCCAGGATCAAGAGGGGCTCCTCTTCGAACCCGGGTCCCGGAAGCTTCCAGCGCGAGCCCTCGCCCGCGCCCACGCCCTCGCCCTTCCTCGTGCCCCTCCCCTGCCCGTTCCACCCCTCGTGAGGGTGGCAGCCGCTGGCGGCTTTCTCCATCTCCCGCCAGACCCGGATGATCTCCGAGCAGGACTTGAACTCGGCCTCCGACTCGCTCTCGGAGATGGAGTTGGCGTCGCCGTTGGGCGTGGCCGAGGGGGCGGGGGGTTTAAGCCCCTCCCCGTCGGGAGGGGGCGGGTCGGCTCCGGCCGGGGAGAGAGGGGGCAGCCAGCGGGCGGGGGGAGCGTCCCCCACCTCACCGCGCCCCTCGCGGACCTGGGTCTTGTGGTTCAACCGCAAGACGGAGTCCTTGACCACTCCAGGAGGGATGAACGAGATGCTCTCTCGCTTCTGAGCGCCCGCCTCTTCCTCCTCCTCCTCTTCCTCCTCCTCCTCTTCCTCTTCCTCGCCCGTCTCCACCGCCTCGTAATAGTTCTTGATCTTCTCGATGAGCAGGCGGTCGGTCTCGGTCCTGGGCGTCACGTCCTTCCTCTCCGCTCGCTTCTCCGTCGACATGGGAGGGGGTGGAGGAGGAGGAGGAGGAGAGGGAGAAGACTTGAGCTCCTCCTCTTCCTCCCACCTCTCTCCTCCGCCATCTGCTGGCCGCCATCTTTCTCCTCGCTCCTCGGCGGTGATCCGTTGGCAGAGCAGCCGAGGTTCTCACTCGACCGCGTCTCACCACCGCGGCTGGTTCTGCGGTCACTCGTCTCGGCCCGGTCCAGGTTCTTCTTGGGCTCCTCCCGGCTCCGGAGGAGCCTCTCCTCGGAGGACTTGACGTCGCACAGGCAGCTCCCGAGAAGCAACGCGTCCCCCAGCGACCGGCGAGAAACCGCGCCCTCCGCGCCCTCCGATCCGTCCAAAATGGAGTCAACCCCGTCCACAGCTTGGCTTTGGCACAACTTCTCTTCGATGATGGCCTCCAGGTCCTCCGAGGTCTTCTTCTGGAGCCGTTCCATGTCTGCGAATATCTGGGGATTCAACCAGGAGAAGATTATTATTAATAGCAATAATAATAATAATAATAACAACGAACAACAACGACAATCCTCGTGTTCGGTGCAGAGTCCCATCGCGTCTTCGAGACGTCTCTCAAAGCGCTTCAAGGGTCACACTGTCAAGTGTAGTGACTGTGCGTTTTTGTCATTAAATGCAATTGTTTTACTATTATTAGTTGTCGTTAATTGTTATTTTGAATCCTCATTAATGACTATGTTCTAATTACTATTATTCATTATTATTAATTATTATCGCGTGGCGTTCCTCGCTCGGGGAGAGCTCGACCAACCCCCCACCCACCCACCACTCACCCTCCACCCCCCACCCACCCCCCACCCACCTACCCACCCTCCACCCACTCTCCAAACCCCACCCACCACCCACCCACCGACACCCCCACCCACCCTAACCCTAACCACCCCCCACCCACCGACCCCCACCCACCCTAACCCTAACCCACCCCCCCACCCACAACCGACCTGTTCCATCTCGAGGTCGATGCTTCCGATCCCAGCGAAGTCCGGTTCCTCGCCCGGATCGGCTCTCTCCGGGGCTCGGACCTGCTCGCGGTCCTTGCCCGCGGTCCGGCTGGTCGTGCCCCCCTCCTCCTCCGTCGACCCCCTCTCCCCTCCGGCCTCCAGCTCCGCCAGGCCGGACCCCAGGGTGCTGGCACTGCCCAACAGGCTCAAGGCGTCCATGTTGGAGAGCAGGTCATCCTCACTCCCTGTGTGCTGTGACCATCAACAACAACACTAACGATCCAGGCCTTTGACCCTGCAGTGACCGTGTGTTTTGAGTGGGGGGGGAGGGGTGGGGCGTCCAGCGACTCCCCCCAACCCCCCCACCCACCCACCCGCCCCCCCACCCGCCAACGGTTGAGCGACCCAATTATTATTATTATTATTATTGAGGGATTATTCCTCCCTCCTCCCCCCTTCCCCCTTTCTTCCCCACCCCCCCCCCCCGCAAACTCCCCGTGTCCCCGCGAAGCTCCATCGATGCTCTTACCTGCAACTGCGCGGCTGGTGGTCGAGGGACAGGAACCCAACGGCGCGGCCAAAGAGAAGAAGGACATACGTTAGTCGATCCCACGGGGGGAACGGGCACAGGAGGAGGCCATTCAGCCCATCCAGCCCGTTTCCACGGCTGATCTTTTACCGGGGAGTGCCGTTCCCTTTTCGCCCCTTAACATCTCCGCTGCCCGGTGTGGGTGGGGGTCGGGGTGGGGGGGGGGGTAGAGAGAGAGAGTGTGTGAGAGAGAGAGAGAGAGAGAGACGGAGAGAGAGAGAGAGAGCGTTCCTTTCCAGGGAGAAGGCGAGGGGGAGAGAGGGGGTGTCGGGGGGTGTTGGGGGTTGGGGGGGTGGGGGGTGGGTGGGGGGGGGTAGCGAGAGGGGTGGGGGGGGGGGGAGCAGTACCACACAGCGATGGGTCTCTCGCTCACCGTTCCGTTCGAACACGGTTTGGATCTGTTTGGACGGCTCTGGAACAGAAGAGCGCAAAAAAAGGAGAGAAAATTGGGTTATAAGAACAATAATAATATTATAGTAATTATGATAACGGTTGTACTAATTATTACAATGATAAAAGTGAGTGGAATCATCATTATTGTAACAATAATAGTATTATTACACAGACACTCACCGCACACGTAATAATATTATTTCCGACGATGTTATGTTATAGTTATGTGATGTAGAATTATCGACGAATATGTACCATTGTCGCAATAATAATAATTGGGATAATACTGTGACGATCCTTACACCGTCTGACGCCGCACCTCAGCACATCGTTGAGTTGCCTCAAAGCGCTTCGCGGGGTACGACTTCAGAGTGTAGTGACTGCGCATTTGCAATGTGTGCGTGCGCGCGTGTGTGTGTGTGTGTGTGTGTGTGTGTGTCTGTGTGTGCGTCTGGGTCTGTGCTTGTGTTTGCGTGTGTGCCTGTGCCTGTGTGTGTGTGCTTGTGCGTGTGTGTGCGTGTGTGTGTGTGTGTGTGTCTGTGCGTGTGTGTGTGTGCGTCTGGGTCTGTGCTTGTGTCTGCCTGTGCCTGTGTCTGTGTGTGCGCGTGTGTGTGTGTGTCTGTGCGTGTGCGTCTGGGTCTGTGCTTGTGTCTGCCTGTGCCTGTGTCTGTGTGTGCGCGTGTGTGTGTGTGTCTGTGCGTGTGCGTCTGGGTCTGTGCTTGTGTCTGCGTGTGTGTGTGTGTCTGTGTGTGTGTCTGTGCGTCTGGGTCTGTGCTTGTGTGTGTGTCTGTGTGTGTATGTGTGTGTGTGTGGGGGAAGAGAGGGGGTGTGTGGGGGAAGAGAGGGGGTGGGTGGGGGGTGGGGGGCAAATCCACTTACCCGACTGCCTCCTCCCTCGACGATAGGTTCCCGAATTTTCCGCGTTCAACACGGGGAAGATTTTCCGGCCTCTCTCGGGGGTGTAGATGAACTCGGGCGGCTCTGGAGCCCGAAGGGGGATATTAATAACAATAATAACAATAATAATAATAATAATAATAATAATAATAATAATAATAATAATAATCCTCACACTTGACCCGGCGCCTCATGGCCTCCTGTTCGTCCCTCGCGCCCCACCATCGGAGGCCGCGCTTTCAGCCGCTACGCCCCGAAACTCTATCACTCTTTCCCCCTCAATCCCTTCCTCCCGCCTTCCCCTCTCTCTCCCTCCGCCTTCCCCCCTCTTTCCCTCCGCCTTCCCCATTTCCCTCCGCCCTCCCCCTTTCCCTCCGCCTTCCCCCTCTTCCTCCGCCTTCCCCCCTCTTTCCCTCCGCCTTCCCCCCTCTCTGCCTCCGCCTTCCCCCCTCTTTCCCTCCGCCTTCCCCCCTCTCTCCCTCCCGCTCTCCCCTCTCCCCCTCCCACCTCGCCCCCTCTCCCCTCCCACCTCGCCCCCTCTCTCCCTCCACCTTACCCTTCCTCTCCCCCCTTTTTGTTCTTTCCTCAGCCCTCAAATGGACTGAGCAACGCCCCCCCCCCCTCCCACCCCCAAAAAAAACAAGCGATGATGACCCACCTGATTGCCGTCTCCCTCTCTGGTAACTTTGGGAGCCGTCCGCGCGAGGAGAGAGGGTCTCGGGGCTGAACTTGATCTCTGGCGGGTCTGAGGGGAGAAGGATTGGGGTGTGAGGAGCCTCGATGACAACAACAACAACACATTACATTAGCCCCTCTCTCTCTCTCTCTTTTCCCCCCACCACCCCACCCTCTGGAACTCTCTCCCGCCCCCTCCCTCGCCCCCTTCAAGACCCATCTCAAGACTCTCCTGATTGTCCAGCACCTTGGGACGTCCTCCCCACACGAAAGGCGCTGTTGCTGCTGGACAGTCAAGGGGTTTGGACCCCAGTTGGGGGTTGGGATCAGGAAGGGGTGGAGGGCGGGGGAGGGAGGGGGGGTAGGAGGGCGACCCAAGGCGCGGTTGGTCGAAGAGGTGGGTCTTGAGATGGTCCTTCTGAAGCCCCACATTGCGTACTCACATTGGGAATGGTTTTCCAACAGGACTTGTCTGGCCTACAAACCGGGAACAAGAGGACAATGAGTTCGAGACGATCAACACCGACAATAACGACATATTAATCCTCCACGTGCACGCACGCCAACATACACACGTTCACGCCAGACACGGACACGCACACGCACACGGACCTTCTGAGGAATGGAGGCCGGATGGTTCTCGATGATCAATCGCTTCAGGTAATGGATCCACAGCCGCTTCTCCTCTTGGTTCTTGGTCTGGAAACATCAATCAATTGAGTTAATCAATCAACCAATCAATCAATAGACCCAACCAATCAATAACCCAATCAATCAATAGATCCAATCAATCAATAAACCAATCATTCCATAGAGCCAACCAATCAATAAACCAACCAATCGATAGACCCAACCAATCAATAAACCAATCAATCAATGGATCCAACCAATCAATAAACCAATCAATTGATAGACCGAACCAATCAATAAACCAATCAATCGATAGACCCAACCAATCAAATCAATCAAGTGAACACAGGGGCCGGAGGGTGCAATGGGCAATTTCAGGGCAGACACCAGGAAGTATTTCTCTACCCAGAGACGTGTAGTGACTGAGAGCGCAAGGCGTGAGGGGCGGGGCTCTGGGGAGAGGGGGGGATCTGGGGAGGAGGGAGTGACGGTGTCTCACCTGCAGTGTGTGCTGATGTTTGGGAATCGTTAGGTCCGTCACTCGGAAACTCAGGGGCTCCTTCAGGCTCTCGGACAGCGTCAGGTTACAGCACTGGGGGGAGAAGGGGGGGAGAGAGGAGGGGGAGAGAGAAGGGGGGGAGAGAGAAGGGGGGGAGAGAGAAGGGGGGGAGAGAGAGAGAAAGAGACATCAATAACCCTGACATCAATCATCATTCCAATGTTGTGCTGTAGGAATCGGCCTCGAACGCCGTTGTATAAGGTGCCTCAACCCCAATTCCCCCCAACTTTTTTGCCCCCAAATCCCTCAAAAGAGGGCGGGGGTGGGGAGTCTAACCCCCACCCCCCCCCCCCCCCGAGCCACGGGGACTTACGAAGATGTGGGTGTTGTACGTGAACTGCTCGGCTCTCTTCTTGGTGATCAGGAGCATCTTTTCGAAGAGGAATAGAGTGCGTTCCTTTTTGGCTCTTTGGACCCGAAACGCCCCCTCCAACACCAACTCCCCGAACACGATCAGATCCGGACCCTTCCAGTTCAGCAGCGAGTTCTGGATCTCCTGCGCGGGGAAAAATAATCATAATAACAACAACTAATATTAATAATAATAATAATAATAATAACGGCGAAAAAATAATAAGAATAAGAATAATAACGGCGAAAAAATAATAAGAATAATAATGACGGTGAGAAGGGTTTCCGTGGGTGTCGGACGCCCGACCGGTCACGGTGACGGGTTTCCGTGGGTGTCGGACGCCCGACCGGTCACGGTGACGGGTTTCCGTGTGTGTGTGTCAGACACCCGACCGGTCACGGTGACGGGGTTTCCGGGCGGACGGTCGCGGTGGTACAGGGTCAATCTACATTTATTCGGGTTCTCGTGGGGTTCCGCTTGTCGCCCTCACAACCTTTAACCAG